TCTAACAACTCTATCATAACTATCTAAGCTCAAAATCCAATCTTCAAGTCCATGCGATCAAGATCCATCTCTTGTGATTAGATTCATCTTGCTCTCATCAAGCTTCCTTTCTTTTACCGATCCTTCAAAACATTCAAATGCAATCTTATCACATCATGTATTAAAATCAATGAATAGGAACTTAATGGAGTTAGATAGTGGATTCTTACCTAAAGCGTAGTCATACTTTTGACTCTCCATCTCTTAGATCTCTTAGGTAAATAGGGCAACTTCGTCTCCAATGCCCCTCTCTTGGCAATAAAAGCAAATTGACTCTTTGGAACAACACATGGAACTACTTCAGACATCGCCTTTTCTTATGATCAAACTTTTCGATCATTGCATGTCTTTCACCATTGTCTATATCCATAGAGGTCTTGAAGGCAGATTCACCAATCAACTTTGCTTTTCTATTGCGCCAAACCATTGTTGATTCAGCAGCAATAAGCATATAGGTGAGATCTATAATCACGTCGTCATCATATAGTACTCTCTTACGAACTCACTATACGAGTTAGGAAGTGACTGAAGAACCCAATCAACAGCCATCGCTTCACCGACAACGGATCCATCATTCTTAATCTATCAATGTGTGACTTCATCCCTAAGACGTGTGCACACACCGACTTGCCTCTTTATGTTTACTTGCCAAAAGGGCTTGAGTGATATTGAACTTTCAATTTTACAATCTTGTGGGTTACGGAGAATAATTGCAGGAGGAGGAGGAAGTGAAGCATGATTTCTTGTTCCTGGATCGAATCGTGGAATATCATCTTCATCTGGAATGCTTGTTCACGGGATTTGAGAAGACCATAGTTGTCGAACTTTGACACGGGAGAAAAACGAATTCAAGTTAGTTGATTGATTGAGTCCTTGGTAAATCACCCAAATGAAATTCCAAGGCTAGGACCCAACACAATATCCTACAATCGGGAGAGGGATGCCGTAACCCAAATTGCAGAACATTTGAAGGTAAGTGAATGACGATTCACTAATTTCCACCATGAAAAACGAAAAAGAAATTTAAGTTTTAAATCTATGAAAACTCCTAGATCCTTTGAGATTCATTGAACATTTCAATGGCATGTTTAAATCTCGATATGCCCTCTTGTTTGTGACTGGGATGCCGAGGATCACAAAGCGGGTGTGAATAACCATGCAAACTACATGGTGCCTCACAACATCACCTATTCGATGTGCCGGTAAACCACACACGCTCCACCGAACTATGACAAACATTGAGTCACCCTTTGCTACCTTTGCTTAGAACCATTTAGTGTGCCGGTAAACCACACACGCTCCACTAACGTCTTCGCAAGGGCACAAAGTGTAATTTCATGGAATTGCATCAATTCACTTTTGCCTAAGTAACTAAGATTGGGAATTTGAAAAACATTTAGTTACTTTGTATTTCATTATACTTATAATGGAAGGTTTCGTCCTATCCTACCCGTTCGGCTAACGACCCTCCACTAGTCAAGAGTGCGGTGGGTAAGAGTGGATACCCATTCAATCGCCATTTTATAGGCAATTTCCTTAAACACCCTTATAGACCAGCTTCGTGAATGAGGCTACTAACGGTAAGACTGACTTTTACTCATATATATATATATATATAATGTTAGACTTTTAATGTTATATATAGTATAGGATGTATTTTATACTTTTAAAATACTATATGGTTAACTTTAACAATTACACTTTTAATCCAATTAAAAGGTTAACCTAAACTTTTATGGATTTATTAAACCTCTTTTAATTATACTCCTTAATTAATTAATAAAACCATAAGGGTGTGATTTGAACTTTTCAAAACATTACTAGGGTTTTAGAATTTAACATTTCTAATTAAACCTTTAATCAACTTTTAAATTCCAAAACTTGAGGGCAAGTTTTGAAACTTTTTTCAAAACATTAGGGTTTTAACTATTTAAATTTCAAAACTCCAAAACTTTTGGGTTCAAATTTAAACTATAAAACCTAAAGGGGAAAATATGAAACCTTTCATAACAACAAGGATCAAATAACAAATAATTTTAAATTAACATTTAATCACATAATTATCCATATTTGATTTATTTAATGATTTCTTGCAAAACAATTTATCAATTTACTCAAAATAATTAATCAATTATCTTATAAGGAAACAATTATCTTGTTAATTGATAATTATCTTTAATTAGATCAAGAATATAGTCATATATATCATAAAATCGGATTTATATTGATCTAACATGATAAGGTAACTATCCATATGCAAAAACAGCAAGAAATCCCGAGATAAGCATTATCTGACGCTCGAACTCGCCGAGTACCACACTGTACTCGCCGAGTACACTGTGGTACTCGCCGAGTTCCTCAGCCATAAAGCCCAAAAAAACGATTTTCCAGTTATACAATGCATCAATACAATTGAAACCAAGCTAGGCTCTGATACCACTGATGGGTTTTTGGTCATAATACATCCTATGTGCTCATACAAACCCTAATGCTTAGATCTAGGTTTCTCTATTGTACATGCTTTGAATCCAAGACTATAAACCCTAATTCTAACATACAAGTAATCATATTAATATGTAATTAGGTTTAAGATCATACCTTGATTGTTATGTAGCAATAACAATCACAAATCTCCTTGAATTGACTTTGGAAGGCTTAGAGTCACAAGTGTCACTCCTCTAATGGTTCACAAACACCATAAGCAAGAGGATGAAGAGGAGAGAGGTTGGAGGCTACCAAAAACGTGTGTAAACCCTTACAAGATCATTATCCATGTTTTTGAGCCTAAAGGGGTCTTTATATAGTTGGGCTATTAGGGTTATCTAACAAGGAAACCCTAATTTGGATGCTTAAGCCCTAAGCAACCCATAGACTTCTTTTATCAAGCCCATGGACGATTTCCTTATGGGTTTCCCATTAGAATTCGTCCATCCCTTAATACAAGGCAATCCATGGCCCAAATTATAATTATCTTATAATTACAATTCCAGTCCCTTAAGTTTAATTAATCTCTTTTAATCACTAAACTAATTACCAATTAATTATTGACTAATATTAATTAAACAATATGATTTCTCCTTTAATATATTATTCCCATAATATATTAATAAATCATATTTAATCCTTACTCTCCATAAATCATCCTATCAAGTTGCTTTGGTGAAGGCAACCCAAAAGGACCATGCACCATCGGGTCAAGTACATACCAAAATAGTTATGGACTTAGACACTAATCCAACAATAATATCACATGCAACAATAAACAATAAGTTGGAAATGGTATCATGATTGTAAAAATGTAACATCCATAAAAATTCACAAAAATTTAAACTTTTCAAAATCATCATAAGTTCATAAATTGTTTGCAAAATCATTCGAATCCAGTAATGTTTACAACTTGTTTTCAAAATAAATCAATATCAGAGTTTTTCCATAAACCACATTCATAAAACGAGGAAGTGTATGGTCACGTCTTCGCCTTCCCGCGGTTATCTGAAGTACCTGAAACAAAATCGAAAATTATAAGTCGAAATCTTAGTGAGATCCCCCAAAATACTCGCACAACAAATAACACACGTATAATAACAAACAGCATATTATGGATCCAATCAACCATCGGGTTGGAATACCCCAAGCCCTCAACCATCGGTTTAGAATGCTAACATACTATGGGTCAAATCATCATCGGGATGGTATACCCTTAGCCCACAACCATCGGGTTGGAATGTTCACATACTATGAGTCCAATCATCCTCAGGATGGAATACTCTCGGTCCACAACCATTGTGTTGGAATGCCCTGGTCTGTTGGCTCTCGCACAAAGCAGATAAGCCTCAACCACCAATCAATCATGTGCACA